ATAAGTGTTATACTACATTTTGGTAGTTCATATATGAAACAAGGTTTTCTTGAAAGCAGAAATATTTTCCTGTTATTTGTAAGAAACCATATCAGTGACATTTGAGCAATATTTTATATGATTCTCTCTCTCTCTCTCTCCCTCCCCCCTCCCTCCCCCCCTCTCAGTCTGCATTTTACACAAAATGGTCTTAGGGAGTAGTTTGTGAACTGCCTTGACACTAAGAGGGATAAATACAGGTGCCAGAAGTCTGCAGTCCTTATCTCCCTTTCATTGTTATTTATGATAAACCAGCTTTTATTAGCAGCCATATAACAAAGAACATATTCTATTTCATGTACCAGGCCTATTTGTGATTTTGCAGCTCTAAAACTAACTCATAATAAGGTCTTAATACTCTTTTCTAATGCATTTTGCTACAATATGGGTTGACAGAGGAGAAGTTGTCCAAAGGCGTGTATCTCTTGTTTCTGTCCCGTGTATGTACTGACATCAGAAGTCTGTGTGCTTCTCTTGCTATTCTTTGTTAAGTGTGATAATCAAAATTTATCATTTACCTTGTTTACTAGTACACATTCAATGTCCCATCTACCTTTGTGTTTTATGCAGCTGAGATCTAAGTCATAATGTCTTACAGTCTGTACACATGTATTGCAGGAATATGGGCTTACAGTGCAGGAGAAGTTGAGCATAGGGCAAGGAATCTGCACTCCTTTACTGAAGAAAATCCGAGCAGATCTGCAGCGCAACATTGAGGAATCAGGAGAGGAGACTGTCAACAGACTGAACCCACGGTGAGGAACCACAATGACTAAAATATGTTTAAATTGCCAAAGATCTGTTACAGTCATTGAACTATTCGGTGCAAATCTGACTAACTCTGTTGAGTAGAATCCTAATTAAAAAGCTGATAATCAGGTATTCTAGAAATTCTCTGGCTTATGTGGAACTAAATACACCATGTTTGCTGAGTCTCCTGTTCCTTACCTATATAAATCCAATGAAGTCTTGGTCAATCAGCTGTGTGACAATAGCATTGTAGTCCATCCAACATCTTGGAGACTGTTTCTGCTTCTGTCATCAGCTTTCCAGTTGTGTAAAGTAGTCTAATGGGTCAAAAGATTGAAGGAAACATAGGATCCTTTCCAGCTTCAGTATAGATATCACATTAGTTAGTATCTATCAACCCCAGGTCTGAGGGCACCTACAGGGAAGCCTTGATTATGGCTACCAACAAAACCACTCTTTGTAGTTATTTATGGATGGTGATTGGTAAGGGTAAACAGAGTTATCTACACAACATTGCTAGACTGACAGTACTTTGCACAGAAGTTAGTGCAGTTATAGGGTGAGTGGTTAGTGCCATCTGGTGCATATTTAATGCTTTATTTGTTACAAAAGTGTATCTATTTGTTCTCAAGTTGTTGTATGTGTGTGTGGACAGACTGAATGAACAAAATAGCAGCTCTACAGGGGCACTAAAGAATTTGATGTGTTCTAAATTTAATGTGCATGCTGTCATAAAATTTGCAAACCTAGCTTTAAATGTTGTAGCAATCCTTTGTTTAATATTTTGTAAATATTATGAAATGTTATTTTAGGCTTGATGTACTTGTGGTAATGTGTGCAGTGTTTTGCAGTTACTCACATGGTGTATCAAGCCCAGGACGACACGTGCGGACTCGCTTGTACTTTACCAGTGAAAGTCATGTTCACTCACTACTAACTGTACTGCGCTATGGTGGTCTGCTTGATGTAAGTTGTTTTGTTTTTGTTTTAGCCTGGAATTGTAAACAATTGTAAGAGTGTTTTGTTGTGAGTTTAAATGATCGTTACTTTGTAGGTACGGAAGGATGAGCAGTGGCGCAGAGCAATGGAATATGTTAGCATGGTGTCAGAACTCAACTACATGTCACAGATTGTTATCATGCTATATGAAGACCCTACCAAGGACCCTTCCTCTGAAGAGAGGTGAGTCAAGTCCAATTTTAACTAAAATGCCAACTCCAAAAGAAGACATGAAAGAGTTTTATTGTAACAGATTTTTTGTGTGTATCATAAGAATTTACCTCATATTCCTGGAGAGGGTAATCTCCCTGAGCAGGTCATCGAAGCCTCTCCAAGCACAAGACTTAATCTTCATTATGGTACTATCCTTTTGTGGCCTTGAAGAGGTCTGCTTTCTCTGTTTTCTAACCCAGCTGAAGATAACTTTTTCCTATTGACCCAGACATTTTTCTGTCTCCCTGCCCCATCTCGTGGTTCTGACTAGCCTTTTTTTTTGCCAGATTCTCCTCCTAACCATATGTAAACAATCCACTTCCTAACTCTCCTCACTACATCCTGAAGATAGAGGCACTATGTTCCTCCGAAACACTGATACACAGCCAAAATACAACATAGTGCAACAACCCAGTATACTGCTGTCTCTATATTAATATATATCTGAAATTTTATGTGATTGATAATATCGTGGATTTATCTTGAAATTTGGCCATGGCTTATGTTTTGTGCTTCAGGTTTCATGTGGAGCTTCACTTCAGTCCTGGGGTCAATTGCTGTGTTCAGAAGAACTTACCACCAGGTCCTGGATTCAGACCGCACAGCCGTAATGAATCTGTGGGCTCAAAGACTGTGGTGTGTATGGTTAGTTTGTAAACTACTTAATGATGTTGTATGACCTGCCAAGGCTGTTTAACATGAAATTAAAATAGAGACTGATTATGTATGATGAACAGGAAGGGATTGAGGAGGAAGCTGTCATGCCTTGTTTCATGGGTATGTGCGAGAATGACTACTCGTTTAATGCAAGTTTGAAACCAGAATTTGGAAATATGTTGATAATTGGAACAAGAACAAGAATTTTTTTAGTAGGGTTCCTCACCCCCACCCCCTTCATCTTGTATAATCACAACTTATAACATTAGCTATTCTTTCCATAATGAACCAAAGTGTACTACAGGTCCCTTTTTATATCGTTGTCACCATTGAATCTGAAAATTGTAAGTGCTGATTCTAGATCCTTTCTCCCAACTCACTGCATATAAAAATTCACCACAGAAGCTGAACATATGTAACAAGTAATATTTTTATTACATGGAATAATAACGTACACCAGTGTTGCAGTTGTTGACAGATTTATCTGTGGTGGAGAGATCTTCAAATAAATCTATGAGTTTGTGGTTATATATTAGCTTGTGTATCTGAATACAGTGCATGGCAGAGAACAGCATTATATAATGGATAAGACAGCTTGAGTACAAGACGGTTGTGAACATACAAGAATTTTATGTGTATGAAAATGTAAAATTTTGCTAAGGTACAAACAGTATTCAGTCTCTTATAAGTCAGAAGCATTATAGTTTGATCTAGCTTGCTCAGACTTTGTGAAATGTTTTTCAGCTAAGCCTTTCTTTATTATACAGGCTGACTTAAAAGTCATGCAGCCTGTATTAAAATATTTGTTAAGGGTTGCAGGTCAGTACATTTTTATTGGATTAATAGACATACACTATTACTGTGATTACAAGCAGGTTACAATGTTACATGACTTGCCATGTAACCCGATATAATTGATCCATTCCAATAATTCATCATGTGCTGAAATAATATGCACTACAATCAGAACTCAGCTGAATGCAGTCTGACCTTATCTTCTGAATTCCTCATTACAAGAAACTGCGCTTAACATTCCGTTCTTTGATAACAGTTCTAACCCTAATAAAGAAAACTTTTAAATGGAACCTTATTTGATATCAAAACTTTCATTTAACTAGGGTGTTATTTATTTATATATATGTATATATTTATTTATTTATGTATGTGTATATTACTTTTTCATGGTTAAGAAGTGTTTAATCTTAATACTAATGTGTAGGTTGCTTAGGTTTTTAAGTTAGAATTGTTCAGAATATTAAAGCTAGTAATGTGTTTGAGATTTGAGGTTTTATAGCAGTAAAAATGCGGATTGTGATCTTCTGAATTAAAACGTTGTGTATTCTTGTAGGCACTTACTGATGTTTTGTAGGAACATATCATGTCCAGAGGACACCACATGGTAACACGTTTTCTCTTCAGGTAGAATTAGGAAAAGTACTGAAGACAGTTCAAATTACTGATGAGTGATGTAGGTATTTGCACCTGGACAGGGGAGAGTGTCTTGCCATTTTATGGCCTTTTCTTCTTCTTCTTTTTCCCAGTCAGAAGCAGGAGGGGGCAGTGAGGAGGGTACATCGTCAGGTGGAGTGCAGTGCGAGGGCAGTGAGAAGGGTTCAAGCCGTATTGATGAGGAGGAGCCCGAGTTAAACCTACTGGATGATGAGACTAGCTCCTCACACACTAAAGCTGATTATACTCCAGCACAATCCGTAAGTTATTTCATCCGTTCGATAGTTTAAATTGAATATTGTAAGTAAATTAAGTGGCTTTTTGTGAACATTCTGTGCCCCATTCCAGTTGCCATTATGGAAGTTATGATTATACGTATAATTTATTGCATTGAAGTTTGCTGATGGTGAGTGGGTGCATCTGGGTGGTTTTTAGCCCACAGCATGATGCATTTGAAGTTTGCCACATCTAGTATTTGTAGTTTGCTGGTGGTGAGTGTATTCAGAAGGTCATTGACCCAGAATCTGTCATCCATTAATGAGTGGTAAAAGGACAAATAGAGGCTAATAATATATGTGAAGAGAAGTGAAAATAGATTTTCCTTACTTCAGTGCTGTTACATACCATTAGTGAAGAACGCCATGTCCATGTCTGCATGTCTGGCCATCAGTCATTCGTGGTTTTCTTAGGACATAGGCAACCCGTATGACCAGGGTTATTGTTGTGCAACAGTTGAAACCATGGTTTTGTTGTTGGAACACATTGCCACACAGCAGTGAGAATAAAAGTAATTGTAAGAACACGTGAAACAATGTTCTTGACTACATTAGTACTGCAAATGACCCAGTGTCATTGTTTTGCCACATTGTTGCTCAACATTGGTTTTGGATGATATTGAGGCAACAATGACTAGCATGATGTGGCCGAAAGAATGTCTTCAAAATATCAGTGTACTCTAAAGAGTCTTGTGTTTTAGGTTTTCATTACAAGATGTATTATTTGTTAAAGTCAAAATGTGCAAAAAAATTAAGAAATTAAATGTAAATATGACAGCATTTATGTTTATGTGAAATAATGTATTTTTTAGATACGATACATTTGTTGAAACAACTAAACCCTTGTTGTTTCTTGAAATTCATTGTAATTTATATTTTTATGTATAATTATGTTATGCCCACTAATCACAGTACTTAGCTGTTTTCTAAGCAGATATATTTTCTGTTAGGTCTGTAACTTTCAAACTGTTTAGTCTTACATACCTAGTAAAATTAATTTTAAGCAACCATCACATCAGCATTTTTAAAAATCCAGACACTTTTAAAGTATGATTCAAGGTGATCTTTGAAGGTGTGGAATTCCTACAAATTCTCATAAAATATCCTTTTCATTGAAAACTTATTAGGAGGGGACACACCCACAGACAGCATGCTTTATTACCCTTTCCTTTGAGTCACCAGTCTAATGGCCCTGAATAAATGTTATTATCTGTAGGCATCACCTGCCCCTTCAGATGAGTCATCTCTGTCAGAGAAACCGGAAATGCAGCAGCAGGGAGCTCGACTTGTATCCGAACCAATCCCTATAAGGTAGGTTGTTGCAAGTCTGACTGCATGAGAGCTTTATATCTTATGTGAAATAAACTTCGGAGTCTTCCAAAATATATGACATGATATGATGCAGTGTTAGGGGACAGCTATGACATCCATGTCTAAAGTGAAATCAACATTTGTCTAACTTTCCAATCCCTGTTTTTATGTATAGTTACACAGTGACTAAAATAATTAAATTCAAGATATATGACACATTTTATTGGTTCTGTTCATTCTATTACTAAAGTAGTAATCAGGCCTGATTTGACACCTGCTCCCATTGGCTAGGGATAGACTACTCCATTCACGGTCTGGATCCTATAAACCTAGCCCCACCCATCTGATTGGCACATTCATCGCCCTGATGACGGAGGAAGTATGACCTCTGAAACGTTGGTAAACATCTACCAGACTACACAGTGCAACAATCCAGAAGACAGAAATCTTCAACATGCTTATTATTGCTAAAGTTTTATCTTACCTCATAGTAGTAACCTCCGGTCTGTGGTTTAAGCAATATGTGAATGTTAATTTTACATTTTCATGATAACAGCTGAATTGACACTTGTCCTCAAACTTTTCGAATTTTGATTGTTTTATGTAAATTTTTTTAAATTTTTACCATTTGGGAGAATGTTCTAAATAAAAATATAATCTAATAAGTGTATTTTATGTTCTGTATGTGTACGTTCAATTTTTGAAGAATTAAGTTATTGGTTTCATGTGAAGTGTGGTTTATATGTTGGCTTATGTAAACCAAAGTTAAATTAACTTAACAACTTTTAATGTAACCCCCTCCAGCCAATAACAAATGTCATGTAATTCCATTTACTAGTTTTCTAGATGGATTTTATGGATATAAGAGCCCCATGTGTTCCTTTTTATGCACATTGTTCCGTTAACACACAGATAGTACGTGTTATTCTTTGTGTTCCTTTTGTCATGAGTTTTATTTTGGAGGTATGACTTTTTCAGAAGTGAGAGATACAGTTTTGCATGTGTTGTTATTCTTAAGGCATTTGATGGAAATGCTGTAAAGTAAGGTTTTGTGATTGGGTACTGATACAAATTTTTCTGGTCACAGGGCACCTCCAGCCCATGACCCACTGGACCTGGCTTCCCGATTGTCATCTGAGCTGGTGTCCCAACATTCCCAGCGCAGTCTTTCCTACACAAGTGCCCGGGCCATCAGCCCAGAGACAGAGCCTAGGGCACGCAGTTTTGACCACCGAGATGATTCAGGAGTAGATAAAGGTAATGTAACATTAGACCAGCCCCTCAGTTCAACATCTTTATAAGTTGCCCAGCCACAGTTGTAGCCAGCATAACGTTTCAAATATGTACAGCTTGCTGGAGGCTTCCTTCATTTTGTCATGTACTTGTTTATTTGGAATTCAAAGATGGGGCAGATTAGAGTCCTGCCCGATTAAAATTACATTTGTCATTACTGACCTTTATCCCCAATGGCAACTTTCTTATCAAGATTTTAGTTTTGAAATTATACAACTTTGTATGATTTTGCATAATATTTATGTAATCTATATTGCCTAAAAGAGGCTTGATATACCCAAAACTCAAATTTAGCTGGATCATATAGTAATAAGTAAGTATATAAATTAATTTTTAAGTATATTCCATTAAATATTCATCAGAAAAAAAATCAAGTTCAAACTAACAGACTTTTATACAAAAATCTCTATATCTGAAGCACATTTTCGTGTAACATCACCAGGAAATTTAAAAGATGTTTTAGTTTTTCAATAAGTAATGTCATGGCCCTTTTATTTACAATATAACGTCATGCAGAGGATGTAGAAAGGAAGAGGAACTTCCAGAGAGTATGGGCCCATGAACAATGTTGTAGGTGATAGCATCAGAGAATGTTCATGGTGTGATGAAATATTTGGTGCTGTCTCCTAACATGGTGTTTGAGCCCTTACTTTTGGACATGCATTTTCCTTTTTTATGTGTAATTAAATTAAAAATCTGTACATCATGTTTCAGACAATACTGTAATTCCATGTACTTGTAGTTTTGAATTTAACCTTTCAATTTATTTTTAATTAATCTTTTTGAATTGTACATTTTCCACTAAATGAATGGTTCACCTCCTCCAGCAAAGCTATGCAGTAACCTTGTTTATGATGACTGTTTCCAGCAGGGTCTGTACACATCTGTATCCATATTTGTTTGTGCATTTTGTTAATGTAACATAATTTTCTTTCTCTTTCCTTGTGCTGTGAGCTTCATTGTTTAATCTGTCATGTTTATGGTAATTGCACACAATAATTGTGTATGAACAGTTAAGACAGAAGAACCAAAGCTCTTGATATTGACAAGTACATTGTTTCTAATTATTATGTTTACATTCCTGATTTTTGATATATATTTTGTATGTTAGTCTTGTGTTTACCCCTCTTTCATGTGTAATTACACAGAACATGGTGATGGGTGCCTGGATTCCATACATGAGAGCTGAAGTTGGTTTGAATATCATACTATCTGCTTCTTCATTCTGTGAACTCTGTGACGTGAATTTTTAGGTATACTTGGTCTGATTTACTTTATTTGAGTCAGTATAATTTCCTAAATTTTTTTCTATTCACACACACTTAAATAATTATTTGCAGTTAATTATAGTTTGTAGTCATAGTCCAATTAATTT